AAAGCTGTTGAAAAACGGTGCCATGTGCACCGAAAGCAAGCATTAAATTTCTTTGTCTTTGGGGGAACTGAAAGGTGCAATATATATATATATATATATATATATATATTTATGGTAAAATCATTTTTAGTCATTATAATTTAGGGTATTTACAAATTAGTCCTTAAGCTTCAACTATAAATACTCTAGCTCATTTAGCTTCAAAACCATCCCAAAGCATTCTAGCTTTCTTCCAATAGTAGAGAGAATTTAGAGAGTTTCTTGAGAGTTGTTTTCTCTTTTTTATCAAGAGAGAATTATCATTATTTTGTCCTTGGTAGATCGAGAGAGGTTGTAATTCCTATTTTCTCATAGTGAAATTCTTCTACCGTTGCTCGTGGTTTTTACCTATATTATTTAGGGGTTTTCCATGTAAATTTTGTGTCTATTTTATCTTCATTTTTATTTTTCCTCAAATTATCAGTTGCAGTTTTGCTCTATCCGATAGCCGTCTTCCGCAACAATTGGTATCAGAGCCAGATTAGAGTGTGTAATATCTTCTTATTATCTTTGTGGTTGCCACCAAAAGATGGATCCTCCAACATAAGAAAGTAAGAAGTTATTACTCATTCTTTGAAGGTTCTAGAGAACTATTCACAATAGTGAAATAGTGGGAGCTATCCGTAAAAGAAGCTATGGCAACGAAATTTGATATTGAAAAATTCAATGGGAGAAATTTCTCATTGTGGAAATTGAAGATGGAGGTCATCCTGAGGAAAGACGGTTGTTTAACAGCTATCAGTGAAAGGCTAGTGAATTTCACAGATGACAACAAATGGATCGAAATGGACGAGAATGCTATGACAAATTTTCATCTAGCATTAGCAGATGAAGTATTGTCAAGCATCGAGGAGAAGAAGACAGCTAAGGAGATATGGGATCATCTCACCAAATTATACGAGGTCACATTGTTGCACAATAAAATTTTTCTTAAGAGGAAATTGTACACTCTCCGGATACCAGAATCTACTTCATTGATAGAGCACTTAAACACATTGAACACGTTATTTTCTCAGCTTACATCCTTAAGATGTACAATAGGAGAACAATAACGTGTTGAACTTCTACTTCAAAGTCTATTTGATTCGTATGATCAACTCATCATCAACTTGACAAATAGTAATGTCACCAATCTAGTCTTTGATGACGTTGCAGCTGCTTTTCTACAAGAAGAAAATCGACGCAAGAACAAGGAAGACAGACAAGTAAATCTGCAACAAGCAGAAATGTTGACAACGATGAAAGGGAGATCAACAGAACGTGACCAAAGTAGCAGTCACAAACATGGTAGATCGAAGTCGAGGAGCAAGAAGAATTTAAAGTGCTATAATTGTGGAAAGAAGGGTCACTTGAAGAATGATTGTTGGAGTCTAAATAAAAACTTCAATCCACAAGGTAATACCGCAATCACTTCAGATGATGGAGATGTTCTATGTTGTGAAGCGTCAACCACCTTGGAAGGTAGAAAGAGATATGCAGATATATGGCTCACTGATTCAGGAGCAACATATCACATGACCTTAAGAAGAGAATGGTTTTATCATTATGAACCTGTCTCAAGAGGATATGTGTATAGTTGGAATGATCATGCCTTAGAGATCGTTTGGCTAGGGAACCATCAAATTGAAGATGTATGATGGAACAATTAAAGTTGTTCGAGATGTGCGGCACGTAAAAGGCCTGAAGAAAAATTTATTATCCTACGGATTGTTGGATAATAATGCAAGCAAGATTGAAACACGAAAAGGAATCATGAAGGTGTTCTATAAAGCGCTTGTGGTGCTAAAAGGCGAAAAGATAGCAGCAAACTTGTACATGCTGAAGGGAGAGACTTTGCTAGAAGTAGAAGCCTCTATTGCCTCATGTAGTTCAGATTCTGCAATGTTATAGAATCAGAAACTTGGAAACATGCCAGAACAAGGAATGAAAGTCCTTGTGGAGCAAAATCTACTTCCAGGCTTAACGAATGTATCACTTACTTTGTGTGAGCATTACATAACAAGTAAGCAACACCGGTTGAAATTCAATACGTCAAATTCTAAAGGCAAAAGTGTTTTAGAATTGGTTCACTCTGATGTATGACAAGCACCAGTTACATCCCTAGGCGGAGAAAAATACTTTGTCTCATTTATTGATGACTACTCCAGGAGATGTTGGGTGTACGCTATTAAGAAAAAGTTAGATGTGTTTTCAACTTTCAAAAACTTCAAGACACGGGTGGAACTTGATTCTGGAAATAAGATCAAGTGTTTCAGAATAGATAATGGAGGAGAATACACAAGCAAAGAATTTGATGACTTTTACAGGAAAGAAGGCATTAAAAGACAGTTCACAGTGGCGAACTCTCCTCAATAAAATGGAGTGGTAGAGCGGATGAACATAACCTTGTTAGAAAGAACAAGAGCAATGTTGAGGGATACATGCCTAGGAAAATCATTCTGGGCAGAAGCAGTCAATACCGCCTGTTATTTGGTGAATCGAGCTCCATCAACTGCAATAGAGCTAAAGACACCAATGGAGATGTGGACTGGTAAACCAGCTGATTATTCAAACCTCCATGTATTTGGAAGTATTGTGTACGTGATGCACAACTCCTAAGAAATTTCAAAGTTGGATCCAAAATCCAGGAAATGCAAATTCTTGGGGTATGTTGATGGAGTAAAGGGGTATCGCTTGTGGGATCCCACTGCCCACAAAGTGATCATCAGCAGAGATGTTGTCTTTGTAGAAGATAAACTACAAAGAAAAGAAGACGATGATAGCGCTGAAAAGTCAGAGACTACTCAGATACATGTGAAAAAAGAGTTTGAACAAGGAGATTCTTTTGAAGCAGAACCATCACATGATGAACAAGAACCAGAGAGTTCTGAAGCTCAAACAACTCGTCAATCAAATCGTATGAGAAGAAGTCCCAATTGGCACTCAGATTATGTTATAGAAGGTAATATTGCATACTGCCTTTTAACAGAGGACGGTGATTCATCAACATACCATGAGGCAATAAACAGCTGAGATGCTTCACTGTGGATGATGGCTATGCAAGAAGAAATTGAAGCCCTTCATAAAAATAATACATGGGACCTTGTGCCACTACCACAAGGAAGGAAGCCAATTGGTAACAAATGGGTCTTCAAAATCAAGGAAAATAGTGACGATAAAGTTGAGAGGTATCATGCAATATTTGTGGTCAAAGGATATGCTCAAAAAGAAGGTATTGATTTCAAATAAATATTTTCTCCTGTGGTTCGACTAACAATAATTCGAGTAGTTTTGACAACGTGTGCTACATTGAACTTACATCTAGAGCAGCTGGATATTAAAATGACTTTTCTTCATAGAAATCTTGAAGAAGAGATTTACATACTCCAACCTGAAGGTTTTGAAAAAAAAGAAAATAAGAACTTGGTTTGCAGGTTGAACAAATCTTTGTACGGTCTAAAGCAAGCGGCGAGGTATTGGTATAAGAGATTTGATTCCTTCATTATGTGACTTGGATACAACAGACTTAATGCAGACCCTTGTGCTTATTTCAAGAGCATTGGAATACAGTAAAGAGGATCTTGAGATATATCAAAGGGACCTCAAATGTTGCATTATGTTACGGAGGATCAAACTTACTAATCAATTGGTATGTAGATTCTGACTATGCAGGGGAATTAGATAAAAGCAAATCTACTACAAGATATGTGTTCAAAGTTACTGGTGAAGTTATAAGCTGGGTTTCAAAATTGTAGTCAGTTGTGGCTATATCCACAACAGAGACAGAATATGTAGCAGCAACACAAGCCAGTAAATAAGCAATTTGGTTGAAGATGCTATTGGAGGAGCTTGGGCACAATCAAGAGTATGTCTCTCTATTTTATGACAGTCAAAGAGCCTTGTATCTAGCAAGGAATCCATCATTTCATTCAAGGACAAAACACATACGAGTTCAATACCATTCATACGTGAAAAGGTGGAAGAAGTGACAGTAGATATGCAGAAGATCCATACCAAAGACAACATAGCATATTTTATGACGAAGGCGATCAATGCTGATAAATTTACTTGGTGTCGATCCTCTTGTGGCCTATCAGAGACATAAGCAACATGATGGTACAAGGTAGAAAGAATGGTGTGATGATATGATTGTTCCAAACATATCTTCAAGTGGGAGATTGTTGAAAAACGGTGCCATGTGCACCGAAAGCAAGCATTAAATTGCTTTGTCTTTGGGGGCATCGAAAGGTGCATAATATATATATATATATATATATATATATATGGTAAAATCATTTTTAGTCATTGTAATTTAGGGTATTTACAAATTAGTCCTTAAACTTCAACTATAAATACCCTAGCTCATTTAGCTTCAAAACCATCCTAAAGCATTCTACCTTTCTTCCAATGCTAGAGAGAATTTAGAGAGTTTCTTAAGAGTTGTTTTATTCTTTTTATCAAGAGAGAATTATCATTGTTTTCTCCTTAGTAGATCGAGAGAGGTTGTAATTCATATTTTCTCATAGTGAAATTCTTCTACCGTTGTCTGTGGTTTTTACCCTATATTATTTACGGGTTTTCCACGTAAATTTTGTCTTTCTTTTATCTTCATTTTTATTTTTCCTCAAATTATCAATTGCGGTTTTGCTCTATCCGATAGTCATCTTCTGCAACAAAAACGACATCGAAAAACCTAATGAGTTGAAAACCACGAATAGTGCGAAAGTATTTCCATTGTTGGTTCCCATGACAAATTTCCCTGCTCGGCTGAGACCCGTGATGCCATTGATCGGGTTTAGAGAATTAATATTACTATTATCTTGCCATGTACTGCCGGGAGGGTTGAGTCCGACTTGGAAGGTGGCAGTGGCCACCAAAACAACAATCACTAATAAAGCACTGCGTGCTTCGCTGGGAGAGTCTCGGCCTTTCTTGAACTTGAAGTACTCTACCACGTTATCTGTTAGCCATCGACATCTCGGTCAAGTTCCGGGTTGGTTTATAACTCCATCACTAGATTCATATGAAGGAAATGGAGATATCAAAAGATCTCTAGCTCTCACAGCTCCGGCACGTTGAAGCACCTCTGCGATTTCTCTATCTCCTGCTTTACTAGGAAACATTTGCAGGACATCCAGGGCAGTAAGACCACATTGGTTTGCTGCATTTACTTCCATCAAGACTGAACTAGTTGTTCCACAACCTAGTAATAGTTCTATCACCTGAAACAATACAGAAATACCATTTGATCATCTCATTGTTACCTCTAATCAGGGGAAATCAACTCCATAAAATTTGTAAAGAAACAAATTTTTAGCAGGAGATAATGAAATATACTTGCCTACCGTTGTTTCTTCCAAGTAGCTAGATGCAGAACAGTATTGCCTTGCTCATCCTTAAGATATAAGAGTTCTTTCATCCTCTATAGAATCCATTAAACCATAAATTTAATGGCCCCAAATTGGCTGTTCTTAACGTGGTGCAAACAGGTTTTCTTTTCAACCGTCACGCCTTTGATACACTCGGCACAACATGAAAGTATTTCGTCGATCACGTCAACCCTCCCCTTCACAGCTGCAAAATGGAGAGGGGTCTGGTTATCTCTTCCTTCTACGCAACATATTTTCATGTCAACATTCAAAAGCTCTCTTACGCCCTCGATATGTCTGTTGGCGGCTGCCATGTGCAGAGGGCTAAAACCATCTTTGTTTAATTCTTTGGCATACTCAAGGCCTTAAACTCGAAATCACTCGAATAAAACCGGTGTGCCCTGCAGCTGAAGTAATATGTAACGGATTTTCACCTGATTAAAGTGAGATGGTGTGGAGGATCAGAGGATTTTCTCCTAGTAACTTGTTTAAAACATCAACATTCCCGGTCCTAGCAGGCTCAAACAACCTCGAATCCATTTTGGTATGATCAAAGATTGATGAATAACAAAAGGGTCTTCGTGTAATAACGGATTATAACTTATTTTCAAATGATCCTCCATGTGAACAAACAATTTTGAGTTGAAATATGCAAGTCTAAAATAATAGTTTGACCTTAATTAGTCAAATGATAACTTTTAATTTATTCATTAGAATGTTGAACTTTAACCTTCTGACAAAGCATCCCCATGTTACCTCCCTGAACCCTAGTCTAATGTCGTAGTTGAACAGAAAAAATTAATGGAAAATCAATTATTTTATCTTATATGCTTATGTCATACTCGTAAAAAATAATTGGTACATAATCTAACATTTTCCATAAGCAGGGAAACAGTATATTCATGTAATGGAAAACAGCAATTTTTGCGCAGAAAAGTGGTGCAGGCTTTTTATCCACTTCCCCATAACATATTTTGTCTCCCACTTGTGGTGGGGCGTAATAAATTGGAAGCTTTCGGTTTTAGTCTTCCTCCCGTCGGTCATTCAAGCATTTTCCGTCTACGCCATGTCTTGTTTCCTTCTCTCGGAGGGTATCATTGAAGCGATTATGTCTCAGATGCGAGCATATTGGTGGTTATGGAAGCACGACTCTGGAGGATGGGCGTTCATTTCTTGGGACAAGGTATGTAGAGTCAAGAGAGACAGTGGGATGGGGTTTCGCAACTTAAAGTTATTCAATATAGCCCTGCTGGACAATCAGGTTTGGAAGCTAATCCACAATCCGAATTCTTTGCTTTTCCAAGTTGGCAAGTTCTTAAAGCCAAGTACTTCCCCGATCATCTATTCTTAAAGCTAAACTTGGAGAGAGGCCATCATTTGTGTAGTCAGGTATTTTCAAAGCTAAGCAGACTCTTGTTGATAGCTACTTTTGTAGGATTGGCGCCAATGGTAATGTGAGAACTCATTTCGATAGGTGGGGTGGATCCAAACCAATCTCCTTCATCTCGACCTATATCAACAATTCAGATATCCCCTCTCGTTGTAAGGATTTTATGGTGCAAGGACTTCCTTTGTGGAATACAGCAAAATTTACTTCAATTTTTTCAGAGGTTGATGCAAGAGCCATCCTCGGCACAATCATCTCACCATGTGAGGACGACGTGCTCATCTGGGAGCACCATAACACGAGAGTTTATTCAACAAAATCAAGATACAATTGGCTTCTATGAAAGGCATGTACTATTCGGGATGATTCCAAAATTTCGAAGCTTCCCACCCTTCCCAAAGTTAAAATCTTTGGGTGGCGGATCTCGGAGAGAAACTTGTTGCCGCGAGACTCGGATTAATCATGTTGTGAATGAATTTCTCATGATTTTATAATCATGTTTTATTATTTTGATTAGGGTTTTTGCTGAATTTTAAATAGTAAGTAACAAAGATAAATGATTAGGTAAATTATGTCCGTCATCACTTATTCAGGGTTTTAAATAACGTTCACGGTCATATTTTCGGTCGAGTCGCGTTTATCACAGTTGCGGATATAACGGATGCTATTGCGGTCATTACGGATATCGCGATTGTGAATTTTTTTCGAAGGAGCTGATTTTTTTTAATAAAAAACATGTTTTTAAAAATAAAATAAAATAACGGAATAATAGCATAATAGCGGTCCGCTATTGCCGCGATTGGCCACGATCCATTAAATAGCGGCCGCAATCCGCCGCTATTGGTGTGATCCCGCTTCACACCGTTATTTCCCGCGGTAGCGGTTTCGGACACCGCCACGACCGCGATATAACAGTCGCGATACCGCTATTCGGTTGCTATTTGAAACCCTGTTATAGGTGAATTTTAATTTGATTATTGATATTTTAATTTGATTATTGATCTTTTAATTTTGTCAATCAGATTACTTAACTATTTAAATAATATAAATTAAATCATCAGTCATTAACATTTAACATAGACGATAATGTGTCGTGGCATATATCTAAGTAAGATAGACCAAATTAATAAAATGTGTAAGTAACAAGGACCAAATATATAATTACACCAAATTTTTAACTATCATGTCACAATTTACATGACTTCGTTAACATCATTAAAATAATTATGCAGTTTGATTGAGAAAATTAGAAGATCGATGAGCATGTTAGAGATGCCAATGGGTTGAGTCAAGTTAGATTTTTGCCTGCTCCAACCCGATACAATGAAACCATAATCCGACTCCAACTCAACTCCAATTTAATATTATTTAATCCGATCTGAATCAGCTCCAAAAATAAAATATAAACTCGACTCTAATTATACCCAATCCGACCTGACCTATGTTATTAAATAAATTGAACAAAAAGAAAATTTTCATAAAGATAACCCTTTGCTCATGGAATTGTAAAAGAGTTAGGTCTCCATGCTTTTGGATTTGTAAAAGGGTTGGGTAATCACCTTTTAGATCATGACTTGTAAACTTGGAACATTCTCTTTAACGATGAAACTTGCCTAAGTACGATGTAGAAGAGAAAAAGTCTAAGATTGAGACTCGAGCAGAATTATTTTCAGGTAAGTGGCTACGTTTTAAGAAGGTAAATGGTTGTTTGGTTGAGTAGCTGCACTTAATAAGAATCCAAGGACCTTTAGTTTTTATCTTCGCTCTTAAATTCACTCGAGAGATAAGATTTGAGGGAGGAAATGAAGAAATCTTAGAGAGAAGAGAAATCCAGCATCATCGGTAGAACAAGAAAAATGAAAGAAAGAAACCCTAAAACAGTTATATATTAGATGACATTCTTGTAAATAACTTAATCTATATAATAAAAATATCTGGTTTGAGTCGGGTTGAAGATTTTTTAGTCTAAATCCAATTCTGACCTGAACCCAAAAACTTTCACATTAAACCCGACCCAAGACCAAATTTAATAAGAAAAACTCTGTTTATATTGGATCGGGTCAAAACTTGTTGGATCCGAATTAAATCGTTAGTTTAACCTAAACAATTTACCAAATGCTTCCTTTAAAAGGTTATTATAGTTTCACTTCCGTATCTAATTTGATATTTGAATTTAATTTCAATACTCACCTTAATATTCAAAGCAAATGATGTCAAGAATATTCGACTCGTGTTTTAAAGTAAAACAATATAGATACCTAATTAGAAAAGAAAAAAACTTTGAGCACGAAACTAACATTGAAATTAAACTCAAATTTCCATATTTAATTTTTCATTTCAGATTAAATATTTCCTATAGGAACAATGTGTTTTTTTAACTTACAAGCAGATAAAAGTCATATGCCATTTTCAATATATTTAAATTTTTATTATGTTTTAAAGTCACGTGTTATAATTTAACAGTTAAGTTATTTATATAGGTTGCCGCCTTAAAGTTATTAAAAAAGTTTATTATTTATTATTTTACTACGTTAAAAATAATATTATCAAAATTTTAACTACTAAACAAGCTTATAAAGTTGGTATGGCTTAAGTAAATTCATATAAAACTATTTCTATTGTGCTCAAATAAGTTTTTACCATTTATTTCGTACACAATAAAAGTTATGTTTAAATAAAAAATTAATTAAATAAATATTAATTTAAGTTAAAAGAGTTGTTTAAATACAATTTAAAATTTAAAAAATCTCAAAAAATTAAATTTAAAATTTACTTCACTGTAGAATTAAAAGTTAAAAAAAGTATTTCAGTATGATTAAAACATTTAAAAATAAATAAAATTTATGATTTCCCGAAATCTGTTCATAAATCTTAAACCCCGAAGAAAGATTCACTTTCACTATGGTCAAATTCGAGTAAATTTCGTGGCAGTCGATGTAATTTTCCCTAAAAAAGAGGGTACATAAATAGTCATCGCTCACGTCGCCTACTTCTGTTTACATATCGATCTCCTATCTCTCCCTGATCGCCGTCTCTATCTTGTATCTTCGCTTGTGTTTTATATTTTTTTGAAATTTATTTATTTATTTTCTCTAAATAACACTGAGAAAATAATAAACGGAGCTGAATTAAGGCCTTTCTATCAATTTTTGTGATAGACCAATAAGGTTTCAGTTTTCCTCAGCTGATCCAGGTAAAAAAACATCAGTGCCGATAATTTTCCATATCCTTTTTTTTTCATATATTAGATCTCTTTCGTTTGCATTGCTGTAATCTGATTTTGCATGCACTGATCTTATTTTTGTTGTTTTTCGAAGCTTTTGTTTGGTAAATTAACAGATCGAGTTTCTGAATCGAACCTGTCATTAAAATTTTGACGTTTTTATGTTGCATGTAGCATGTTAAACGATGAATTTTCGGCCGTTTCGATGAATTTATTAATCCGGTGTTACAGATCTGGATGATTTTTTGTTTGAATTGTGTTATTTTGAAGTTGCAAGTATTTCTGTTTATTCATCGAAATACTGATGTAGTAAGTGAGAGTGTTTGCTGACTTTTAACGTAGATCTTAGCTGTTGACGATGGCGACATCAGCAGCTGGTGGCACGGGGTGGTACAAAGGGAGAGTCAAAGCAGTTCCATCGGGTGATAGCTTGGTGGTAACGGCTTTGACCACTAACAGGCCTGGACCTCCCCCTGAGAAAACCATTACCCTTGCATCTCTCATTGCTCCTAGACTGGTAAAGCCCGTTTGAGTGCAAGTTTGCTTCTGGCTTGGTTCGGTATTAAATTTGATGACTTGCTTGTTAGTTTGACTTTTTTTATTGCTGGCAGTGGGACTCGATCCCACGACCACGAGGGAGTCTTGCGCTCCAACTGAGTTAGACGGGCAATTCATAACGGAGGTCTTTCACGGAAGCTGTTCTC